TTGCGCTGGAGAACCAAGGCATTACCCAGTTTTCCCGCCTCCTCAAGGCGACGCTCGGTCTCCTGCAGATGAGCAGCGAGCGCTCGCTTCGCGGATTCTGGGGAAGCAGGGCCAGTCACGAAAAAATCATGATCGTAGTTCGAATATCGGTGCTGAGCCGGCACAGGCGCGGGCGCAGGCGGTGTTGTTGTGATAAAAGGGTCGTATTGCGCTGCGCCGGGAGCGGGCAAGCTTGGCTTGTCGGAAGCCAGTGAAGAAGCCATGATTGCAGAGCAAATGTGGCCCTCTTCCGAAGAGGGCAAGGAAAACTTCCTCAATCACGCCTTGAAAACATCAAGATACGCAGACGGACGACGTAACAGGCCCGTCGCAGGGGTGATGGCTCTGTGTTTGTGGTGTGTTGAGAGTTTCGAACGTGTTGTGCTGGCTAAATGAAGCTGGGTCGTGTTTGTTGTTGAAAGACGGGGTACAGCACTTGTTAAAGTACCGGTACCGTAATAGATTAGACAGACCAGTCAGATTGCAGCAATGCCACCTGCAGGGAGAGTGCGCAAGATTGGAGCTAAGGTGCTGTGCTGTAAGAGAGCAGACCCGGCTGCGAGAAAAAATAAAGACAATTCCCACAGAAAAACAAAAGAAGTATTATGGAAGAAAGTAGTGCAAGTGAAAGTGAAAGGCGATTAGAAACGTAACAAAACAAAAGGAGCTTTCAGTAGTAGAGAGAGAGTTGAAAGAATGAGTGTAATGCAGCGCAAACGTGAGGAACCTCGAAATGTCGGTCGGTCGTCGAGAGAAAATGCGATTGGAAATGCCCAGATTTGCGGGTGAGAGTGTGTCTAATTATTGACACACTGGTCGAATAGCGAATGGGCGCCAGCGATCCTCCTTAGTCAGGTACCGCAAAGCACACAAGCGCACAACGCACAAACAAAACAGAGCAAAAGCACAGGCAGACTGCACGACACACACAGTGGGTTGTACCGAGACCAAGACCAGTAATTAGTGGGAATTTACCCCTGTTGACTCTGGTTCAAGCGTCGCACCTCTCTCTGGCAGAGGCAGACCAAGGCAGTTGTGGTATTTGGAGAACTTCTGGTGCTGGTTCCTGGAATGTTTTCTCGACGACTTATGCGACAGCGATCTTATTGCTCATTCCCGAGTGGAATTGGCAACTCGAAGGATCTCCAACGGCCGAAAACGCTCGTTACCGCTCAAGCGGCGCTCTGTCACCAATGCAACCAAGCCAACGGTGACAAAGGAGGCGCAGACAGAGTTTCCCAGCAGTGACGTGGGCGTTTGTTGAGATTTGAGGCGAAAGAGAAAAGGACGACGAAAAAAGAAGATGAGTCCAGACTCGAGAGAGCGCGCGTGACAACGAGAGATGTTGATAATTATGGTGCGCACTGGTACCTGACGTTCAGGTGGAGTCTGCTCCGGCGACAAAGTCTCTTTTCAATTCCAGAGTGGACTGGGGTGGATCGACTGATTTCAAGGGCGGCCGGCCGGTGACGTTTGAGGTTCTTCGCTAGGAATTGGGACGTCGCCCTTGTAAAAGGGTCCGAGGTTGGCTGAAATACGAAGCAGTAGGAAAAGGAATTATGCAGATGCACTAGCGATTGAGATATCCGTCCGTCACAGTGAAGAACTGAGGAGCAAGACAAGACAAGAACTGCTAAGGAGTAAGTTCTCTCAAAGAGTCGCGTCGGAGTCGATTGTCCTTTAGAAAAAGATGAATGAATGGATGGCCCCGTGACGGTGACCTAAAAGACAGGACAGTATCGAAAGGGGGACGACGATGCCGAGTGATTGGTAGAGGGCATCCAAGACTGAGGTCAAGTAAACGCGCCGTCTGTTTTCCCTTTGTTTCCGTTCCGTTTCCTTCGGGGCTATCGCCTATCGCCCGTCGGTGTCGATTGGTTTTGCTGTTGGGTTAGTATTACGAGTATGAGGAAAAAGAAAGAGAGAGAGAGAGAGAGGTCGTAGACGAAAAAAGAGAAGAGGGATTAGAATTACTTTTGTGTAAAGTATTTGAGGATACGGTCAGGTAAGGAGAATGGAGTATCGACGGGGGAACAGCTGCTAGCTCAGGCCAGGCCCAGGGTGAAGCGAAAGGTGAAGTGAAGCTGAGCACTCTGATTCCTGCTCTTTCTTCTTTTTTCCGGGTCTGTCTACCATCTAACTTTACTCAATGACGGGGTTTGAACAAGGTACAGGCTCCAGTTTGTAGGCTGTGCGTTCATGGGAATCTAAGCAGCCTTGGCTATCTAAAGTGAATTCCTCTGTAAAATGCCCGAATGTTGCTATTCCTAGATGACTTGTGGTATACAGGCCCTTGTTGCTTTAGCGGTCCTGCACGGTACCTGATGATTTCCACTGTTTGCCCCTGCGTTCTTAGTACCTGCGTAGAGCTGCACTGCTGGCTACCGAGATGTACATGGACAAGGGACATGACCTGCTGACTGCACTACAGATTCCTCTCGAGTCTTGAGCTCTTCTGTTTGGAGTATCAAAGTATCAATGACTGGGATGAACGTGGAGTCTACAGTGGAACGTGGAGAGTGGGACGGCCGTGAAAGACACCGCATTATTGATAGCTAAAGTAGTACTGTAGCTAAAAGCTCACTTGTCTCTGGATGATACATAGCTCGATCTGCTAGTCAGGCTGAGCTACTCAGTCATTGTTTATTTTTGTTCCGATCATGTTTACTCAATGCATTGTTTGCCTCGATCATCGATGTTGCTTTGCTTCTTATCAGCTTGGTTGCGTAAAGTATCGTACCCAATTCTGCGCCTGAAATTCCATAGCAAGGACCATCAACAGGTCTGTGTTCCAGCTTCGAGAAGGGGTCAGGCAAGGATATGCTCATTGGCTACGTAACGAGCGGGATTGATTTACAATGCTACTGTAGGCTACCCGCTATGCTCATCCCAGCTTTAATTCTTTTGCTGTCAAGCGTGAGTGGACGAATGAAAGGATTATCTTCATCTACAAACCAGCCAATGTACAGCACAGTACGTTTCGATATCGATATAAACATTTGCACTCTGCATGCGGTTTGGAAACTTCAACACCAGCTATGATAGGCCAGTAGCATCGACTTGAGGCGTTCATCAGGGCTTTTCATCATCGTAAAAGAGCTGCCACACTTTCTTTAGTCGCCGTTAGGCAAACGCCTCACGTCAAAGACTGAGCTTCCAGCCCGTCCATCAAAGAATTCAATGCCGCTAGCAGAGCTGCCAACTCAGCAGCACGAGCCAAAATCTTGAGTGATCGACCGGTGTTGGAACTCAATTGTAGGCATTTTCCTTGTTTACTCAACATGTCTCTGTAGCAATGAGCTCGAGATGCATTGCTACTACTCTCAAGGTGTCATCTGGTGCAAGGCTGCGGGGTTTATGCAAACGATAGTAGGGCATGATTAGCCTGCATGTGCATGCAGTAGCGGTTGTGAAGCTCGAGGAGAGTAGCCTAGAATGGTTGAAAACAAACAAACAACATTGCGCGATTCGTGATGTTGACTTTTGGTGACCTCGAAAAAGTCAACAACACGACACCATCACCAACCACCACCAGGAATTGATTATCTGGTATCACATGCCGTCATCGCATCATCAACGAGATGCGCACAAAACCGAAAATCCAAAAGGCGCCCGTATTTCTCCAACGGTCCGCATAAACACCCTCATTCATCTCATTTCTCTGCCAAGGTTGTCCTTGACCAGGGTCTCTCCTCGGCCAATTACGCTTAGCTGCCAAACCTTGTTAGTTAGCGGAGAACGATGGACTAACTTATTGACCTTGCAGGCTTTCTTTCACTTTTGCTCTCTGTCGGTTGCTTTTCCCAACAGATGTGATGTGATTGATGCTTGATCAGATCTGGATTTGGAGCTGCCCGCGATCGATCCAGACCGTGTCCAAAAATGAAATAGCAAAAACTAAAAGAAGAAGGTTTTATTTTACCTGCATTGGCTGATTCTGTCTATGCAATTCTCAGCTCCGTTTGGCCAATACGAGTCTCCTCCATGCATTGGTATTGAGCTATCGTTTGGCGTCTTGGCCAATTGCAGCTCTGTGGGCAACTCCTCTACAGACACGTCAGAACTAAGCCTCACATCTCAATATCGCTTCCATGCACTGCTTCGACGACGGCCTCTGCTGGTGAATCATACATTAGTTCATGTATCATGCGGGAGAAAGGGGGTTCTGATGTAAGAGAGGTCATTGTTGGACAACGGAGAGTGTGAGTTCTCTACGTGTCATTTATGTTTCCGTGACAATGTATTAAGGTAGCATCTGTCACGTCAAAAGAAGACATCAACAAACACTGCGACAGTTATTATCGTATAAGCAACTACGCAATCGGTAAGTAAACACTAATAGGCCTCAGCGCTTAGTGACAACAATTCGTTCTCTTTAGTCTTTAGTCCAAGGAGCGACGTTGGATTTCTGAGCATCAAATTACGTGGGTACAGGGTAGCAACTGTGACACGCCTAAGGTAGTCATCGAACATTGGATGTCAGCACATAGAATTACACAATCTATTCAGGCTCCAAGAGGCAACCAATAGTACAATAGCTTTGTGTAAAGGCATGTCTCTTGGTCACAGGGTTTTCCCGTGGCTGGTTAGGTATATACATGCCCTCAGTGAGGCTATTTCATGACTTCGTCCGAAGATCAGGGTCCAAGTGCCATAAACTCCAGGTGTGTGCAAAGACCCTACTTATAGAATGCGTATTTTTCTTAATGGACGATCATGCAGTATTACCTAGCTCGAAGTTGGGATAGGTAACCTGGGATTCACCTCCTCTTTGCATACCCTGAAAATCACTGGCTGAACACCGTGATCTGTCTCAACATGCTCTGCCAGGAATATCGTCAATGTCAACTCTAATGATATTATGCTACATATCTAATGGTTCAAGCGTAATCTAATACTGTATACATGGCCCAAGCCGGAACTCCCACCACCCTGGACATGAAACAAAAAATACATGGGCGTCAGTTATGTGCTGGCAACTCAGCCGGCCCATTAAAGCCCTGCAACGGAGTCCCAGATAGCTCTTGCGGATGTGGAGGTTGATACTGATAGCCTTTTGAAGTATACACGTACTGAGATTGTTGCCAAGCATCCGTCATCGGGTTGTTATTCGAAGGCTGTTGCTGCTCGCCCTTCTTAGCAGCCTTTTCCTTTCTGCGCGTCTTCCAAAAGAGATATACAACAGCGACAGCCATGATAGCTCCGACACCAACACCAGCCCCAATTCTTGCCTTTGCACCGGTGGAAAGCCCTGCGGGTGCTTCGGATGGCTCTGGTGTATCCGGCACAGAACTGGACGGTATGGATGCGTCGCTTGTCGTGGTCGAAGAAGAAGAAACAGATGCCGTAGAAGACATGACGTCCGTTGTTGCTGATGCGGTTTCGGTCGTGGACTGGTCACTAAACATTGTACCAACAACATCATATCGAGTCGCCTTTCGGTTCCATGTCGCCCAAACTTCGGGGTCAGATGGGAGCACATTGAATCTGCCGACGCCACTGTTGCAACAGTTGGTGTTGTGGTCACAACAATAAGATGTGTCACTGTTTGTAACGTTGGAGCATGAGATCAGGTCAGTCCCTCCTGTGTCAGCGCCTGTGAAGAGTAAGTATAACTGTGCGATATCTTTTGCATCATCGTCACCAACCCAGGCAGAACATTGCACACTCGGGCGAATTCCAATTCTTATCCGTACATGAACCTCGCACGGTATTTCCATTTCCCCCTATGCATAATTTGTTCGACAGGCATACTGTTCCTAGGCCTCCAGAACAACAGACGCTCTGCTTAGCATCAGGATCGCAAGGATGGTCTTCGGCTTCCAGACCGTTGGGATAGTAACACTTGTTGGCGGCAAAACATAATTGTGAGAAGGAAAGAAATAGGAGAGAAAGGATGGACCTTTTCATCTTGATAGTTGATCTGCACAACAGCACAGAGAAATGTGTGTACCATGAAGGGAAAAGAAGCACAGAGTTTTAGGAGAAAGCTGAGTAGAAAGGACGGAGAGGGAGCTGAAGAGCAACCCAACAGATTAGAGATTAGACTCATGCAGCAATTCGTCTTTGGAACTGTTGGTTGCACCAACCTTGGCACTTCCAGGGAGTGTATGAGAAGCTGCACGAAGCCGTTGGTCTAAGCACCATGTGCTATACAGAAATAGACGCTCGCTGGCTTAGCCAGCAGTTACAAGTATCGTCCCAAGAAATTGTCCCGGCCATCGCTTGATTTTGGGGACATCTCTAACGAGGGCTGAAGTTGTGTTGGTTGTAGATTCCACATGAGACCATATCGTGAACTCTTACTGGCGTGTTGGTTGAAGACAGTTGTGGTTAAATGGTTTCCTATACCGGGCGGTAACAGAGGATCGATAATTGGCTGCAAGAAGCTGTATCCCGACACGGCCGGAGACTCGGCCCCACACCGATTCAGGGGTCCATCAGTCGCCGCGGTTAATGGCGACAGGGCTGAAATTGTCTTATTGTAATTCTGCCCGAAGCTGGTCGCATCCTGTCGAGTCGCTTCAATTCCCCTCAACACATTGTAGTCGGTCTGGCCACGATGTTGTCACCAGCTTTTGCGCACCGAAAATATGTCTACACTGCCTCAATAGCCGTCGTGATCGTCATCTTTTTGACTGTCAACTACGCATATAGTGGTAGGATAAGACGTTAGTTGTTCGCAAACCCTCAGCTTGGATTGCTTGCTAATACATACGATAGCAAGTAGCTTATCTGAAGAGGCACCATTGCCTACAGCTCCTGTCACTCTGCAACAGGAACCTTTTCCACATAAGATATGGCAAAGCTGGAAAGATGATTCAGAAAACCCGACTGAGAGAACTGTTGGTTTTCCACATCAATGGCGTGTAGTCAATCCTGGTTGGCGGTATGAGCGCATTACTGATGCCAACAATGACGCTTATGTTCTCGATCGATTTGATGCCAACATCTCAGACGTCTTCACAAGTCTGCAGGACCCAATTCTGAAAGCAGATTTATTGAGGTACCTGATACTGTTGCGCGAGGGTGGTGTATGGGCTGATATCGACGTATACCCCCATCAGCCAGTATCGAAATGGATCCCGAAACAGTTTCAAGGCTCAGTGAATCTGGTCGTTGGGATAGAAAATGACCATCACAAACAGCCCATCTGGCCTGGCTCCCCATACTCTGTGCAGTTATGCCAATATTCGGTGTTGGCCAAGCCAAACCATCCTGCCATCAAAACACTTGTGAACCAAGTGGCAGAGGATCTCAAGAAACTTCTTGGGACCAAGCAGCCCGGGGAGGCAGTTTCTTTCGAAGTTGTCATGTCCACTACTGGACCTTTTGCTTTCACAAAAGTTCTCATGGACTATTTCCAGGAGTCCACAGGCGTGGAACATACTGGGAATGAGCTAGATAGACTTGAAGAACCTCGATTGATTGGCGATGTGCTTGTCCTGCCAAAGGATAGCTTTGGATGGTTGCCCCAAGAACACACTCATGATAAAGGAGATCCAACTATCCTTGTTGAGCATTTATTTATCGGATCATGGCGAGATGGCCATCCTGGATGATGCCCAGAGGCGATATATATGGCGTTTGTGATATCATGGGAGACGTTCCCGAAGATTTCGTGGTTTGGGAATGTCCAAGGGCAACCGACGAGAGAAATTTATATATACAGAAGAAGCGCGCCAGTTTGAGGTACCACTACGGATTGATAGATCATATTCTCGTGATACTGAAGCTGGGCCAAAGGTGGATTTAGTCTCAGTGCAGATGGATTCCTCGCCCGCCAAAACAGCGAGATTGAAAGAAATGAGATAATCGAGATTCGATGGAGACATCATATCGAAGTCTTGAAGAAATACTTGACAATTGCCAAATGTCGTTACTCAAGTTTGACTGGTTCCCAACTCTGACACCAACGCTACGCGCAGTCACATGATCATTTCTAGATCCCTCCATCCTAAGGTACGTTAGAGTCTAGAAAGTTTGATTTCCAATCTGTAACGGTTGCATTTAAAATCCACCCCCGTCACTTCTAAATCGACCACTAAGAACCACAAAGATGGCCGATTCAACAACAGAACCACAAGCGTCTGCCCCTTTATTCAAGAAGCGAGGAGCAAAGGGCAAAGCAAACCTGCGCAAACGACCAGCGACGCCACCTCCCGCCGACAGCGATGATAGCGACTACTCATCGTCAGAAGACGAGTCGGGACAGCGCGTGAAGCGGCGCAAGAAGACTCTCACCGTCACAGCATCCTCAAAAGACTTGGCAACAGGGAAGGTGGATCTTCAAGCGACGGTTTATACAGCAGACCGCAATGTACCCATCACAAGTACCAATGACGCGACAAAACATAGCAACTGGTACGACGAGGACTCTCAGGATGCGCTATCAGCAAAGAACCTCCTAGGCTCAACAAGAGCTGCCGTAAAGGACTCGCAGCCAGATGGAACATACAAAGGACTCGCAAATCAGACTACTTTCATCCAAAAGAACCCCGATGCGCCCAACAGAGCGAAAGGTCCCGTCAAGGCCTCCTCAAACGTCCGTACCATCACGGTCATGGACTTCAAACCAGACGTTTGCAAAGATTACAAGAAGACCGGCTGGTAAGTGGATACATAATCCAATGCATCGATTGCAGCTAGCTAATCGTTTCAGGTGTGGATTTGGCGATTCTTGCGTGTTCGCCCATATTCGAGACGATGTGAAGCAAGGCTGGCAACTTGACAGAGAGTGGGAAGAAGTTACTAAAGGGAAGAAGAACCTAGGCGGTACCGTCGTTGCGAGCGCCAACCGCGACAAGAAGGTTGAGAAAGCAGACGACGCAGATGAGATTGCTATGCTTGAAAAGATCCCCTTTGCATGTATTATTTGCGAGGGACCATATAGGGAACCTATTCAGACAAGGTGCGGACACTACTTTTGTGAGCCATGTGCTCTCAAGAGATACAGAAAAGACCCGACATGCGCTGCATGCGGAGCTGGCACGAATGGTGTGTTCAACTCAGCGAAGAAGCTGAAGAAGCTATTAGAGAAAAAGAAAGAGCGCGAAGAGCAGAAGAAAAAGCAAGAGGAAGAGGCTCAGGAGGAGCAATGAGCAATGAGCTTGAGCTTGTAGACATGTATTTTTAAACAAAGCATTCTGAAGAAGAAAAGATACCACGATATCCCGAATAGAGCACTTGATCACTTTATATAAATTCACTGACCATGGCTAATTCTGCTTCTCTTGTCCTTGTGATCCAAGCACCAGACTGACTCTCATCTGCCCAGGAGAGGCTCATGGTATACACGTGAGGAAAGCTCCTGGAAGATGACGTGCATGCTGATAAGATAAGTCCAGCTCCGTACCCGCTTCATTCAAGCTCCCCCCAACTCTGAGTGGCTGTCCCCCACGTCACGGCCAATGAGGGGTCCAGGCATATGTACATCTCCATGTGATCGCCTCACCAGTGAAGCCTATTACTCAGGTACCGTAACATATTTAGTCTTTCTTTATCAGTCATCCGCCTTCTTGTTAGGCAGACGTGACGAAGAGCCGACAAAGTTTTTTTATTTTTAAAAACCTTTCTCACTCTTTGAACTTCGACTCCTTTGTATCCCTTCACCATCAAGCTTATACAGAATCTCAACCCCGCATCCTTTCAGCGATACAGCATCTGAGTCCACACTCCGACAAGCTTATCTTTCCGACTCCTTGAACATCAACAGACATCATTTCTATCGAACGAGCGAATCGATACGCAACGAAGCCATCATGAATTACATCTACTCCACAGTCAACACCCTACGGGATCGTTATACACCCGTCTCTCACAAGTCAACCTTCCGCCAGACTGGTCAAATCACACCTGAAGAGTTCCTCGCTGCGGGTGACTACCTTGTGTACAAGTTCCCGACCTGGTCTTGGGGCGATGCCGACTCTCCTGAGCAGCGAGTGAGCCATCTTCCTCCCGGAAAGCAGTTCCTCGTCACACGCAACGTTCCCTGCCATCGACGCCTGAACGATGACTTTGCAGGCGACGCTGGCCATGAGGAAGCTCTCGTCAACGACGGCGACGACTTCAAGAGCGCTACTGGCGACGATGAGGATGGTTGGCTGAGGACCGGTGGTCTGGCTAGTTCTCAGCCGCTGAAGGTCAAGGAGGTGAGGACAGTGGATGACTCCGGAAATGTCGGTGATCGAGAGGTTGTCGAGGATGATGATGAAATCCCTGACATGGAGGATGAAGACGACGACGAGGCTATTATTCGCGATTCTGGCGCTGATTCCAAGAACAGGTATGCTACAAAGTTCGCATCCTAGGAAGATGTACTGACAATTAGCAGCGCTCACCGTACATACACGCTCTACATCATGTACTCCCCCTACTACCGAACACCCCGTCTGTATCTCTCAGGCTATCTTGCCAGCGGTCAGCCGCTACCCCCTAACGACATGACAGAGGACATTGTCGGCGACTACAAGGACAAGACAGTGACACTTGAGGACTTCCCCTTCTTCGCCAACAACATCAAGATGGCCTCTGTGCATCCCTGCAAGCACGCCTCAGTCATGAAGACACTACTCGACCGTGCTGATGCGGCTCTTCGTCTGCGTCGTGAGAAGCTCCGTGCCGGTAACAGCCAGACACCGTCTGGTATGGAGGGTCTGGTAGACGAGATTGGAAAGTTGGATGTCAAGGGCGCTCAAGAGGCAGCGGACAAGGATGAGTGGGAGGAGGTCCAGGAGACCGAGATCGATGATCAGGAGGTTGCTATTCGAGTGGATCAGTACCTAGTTGTATTCCTCAAGGTAGGTCTCTCCATGTTGCGTATGGTTATTCTCCGATTTCTAACCTGTTTTCTAGTTCATGGCCAGTGTGACACCTGGTATCGAGCACGATTTCACCATGGGTGTCTAATCGGGCGAATCAATGACTGAGATTAGACTTGTGGGCAAGATACGGTTAAGAAAGTATGGACTCGGAATCACTATATCAGGAGAATAGGCGTTGACGGTGTTCGATTGTTAAGATCTTCTATGGTAGCAATTGTATTCAGACAGTGTGGATTCTCTCACTTCCAGCATGAATATACGGAAGCCGCAGGTTAATATGTGCCTACCTTAGATGCTTAGGATTTTCACAAAAGGCACGTTGGATATCTAAGTATCGATGATATAAGTATGCTACCTAGGTACCGGTATCGTCGATTGATGCTATGTGATTGACTACCTTACAGAACCCCCTCAGATCTCCCGCACGGGGCTGAAGGAGAAACTTGACATGTAATCGTTGTATAAGCCTAATACATATCCTAAATGATATAAAAATATGGGTGAATTTAACATAATTCAGTATAAATTGCTCTAAGTTTAGGAAAGCTTAGATTAGAGTAGGTGTCTTTGACATTTTTGACACCTTCCATTGTTCAACGTCAGAATGTAGCTACAGTGTGGTTCAGGAGCGCATCGTTCAAAACCTTCTCGAGATGGGAGGAGACATAGGTGGCCCTCAGGGGGCAAGAAACACCGAACCTTGATATAACTAGGGTGTCAAAATAAACTTGGCAAAGAGAAACCTAAACTTAGGCTAAGCTGACCTAAGTATTTTCATCACTTAGGGTTAAGGTCCTGAGTTTTCTTTCCTCCCCTAGGTGACAGAAATACCAAGTTCCTTACGGCAGGAGTTGATAACCTTATTAATATAGGGCTTAAGACTATTTAAAGCCTTCTATATAGTAGCCTTATAAGCCTTATTAACTGTGGTCTGAAACTGCTCCTATGATATAGCTGGTAGGCAAAGGAGGGAACTCCCATCGGGAGGAGTGGCATCAGCTATGGCGTGCTTGTGAATGAGATATATGGGATCTGATAGTGTGAATTGAAATTTGGAGTCTGGAATTTAGAGTGGGAATGAATTTGGGTATATGACACTTTAGACAGGGGATGGTGTCTGTGGTGTGGATGTAGGAAGAAAGAAGTTCGGCGCTGTGGGCCTGCAGTAGCTTCCATTGTTAAATAGAGCACAGTCGTGCATGCCTTCTGTATAGACTAGAAAAAGGAGAGGCGATCACCGCCGTCCTGGGAGTCTTTGGGTGGTCAGAATGTGCCTACCTAGGTAGGTACCTAGCGTAGATTCCTTTCCTTCTTCAACTCTACACATTCCCATCGCCGGAACCATCAACTTTAAGATAATACCACATTGACATCAAGATATATTCCCGCGTCTCAGTTAACACGCACTCAACATCTTGTCGCGGCTCATACGCCCGTTATTCACCCTCTTTCAGAAACGGCAACCACTACGTCGATTACCACCGCCCTCAGACTCCCTGAACGGAGGAAGATTTCCATCAATGGAAGAGATCGCCAAGCACGCTTATTTAAGACGTATCGCCAAAGACGTTGCTGGTAAGCCCTTTCTCTCATTACTATAGTCTCCAATAGCTTACAATTAGCAGCAAATGCGCCTTGGTACAAGCGCATACTCTGCTAGGAAACCTCCCATATGCTGGGATCATCTGGTGGCATCGTTGTAAGTTCCTCAATCAGCATTATTAAAACTTGCTTTTCTA